TAGACTTCCTTTCAGCTTTGATCTAGTTGCATTATTAGCAACAGCCCTGTTTGTACTTCTCCTTTGCTTTTCCCCAGTAACAGATTGAGTGTCTTCCAAGCTGGGAGCCTTATCTCCTTGCTGAGAGGATGACACTATCTCTTGTTTCATTTTGAATTGTTTCATTGCAGAGTTTACGAAGTAAAAAGTGGTTTAGGGTTGTCTCTTTTTGTGTGGTACTAGCCTCAGTAAGCTTGAGTGTCACTGCTGTTGTCTGTGGAAGATTCTCCGCCAGTGTTACTTTCAGCTGCCGCTGCTGTCCAGTAGCTACCCTTTGAGAGTTCCTTTGTCCCTGTCATCATTAGGGATATCAGTTCTTTTCTGCTGACATGACCGCTGCTCCTAAAGAGGATGGAAGCATCTTAGTCTGGAGTTTTTGCTTTGACCATTCCACCTTGGGAGACCCTGTTAGGAGAGCAGACTAGTGGGAGAGCCTGGCCTCCCGGTGGCATTGCTCTCAGCTTCTCTGACGCCCTTGAGCCCCCTCAGCGTGCTATCATGCTAAGAGAAGAAATCAGGCAGTCTACAGGAAATAGGATGGCAGTACGTTCTAGAAGATCGCTCTGGGACATTGCTGGTTGAAATGAACACTTCTTGAGATAGCTAATGAAGGAACGGGGGCATTTCTCAGCCTGTAGCAATGCATCATTTTGAGACTTTGAACTTCCGTTAGCAGCATAACAAGAATTTTCTTTCTGCAGTGCACTGTGTCACAGAACTGTTTCAGCTGGCATAGTTTGCAGGTGTTTCTCACATCTTTGCTGAACATAATGCAGAAGTCTGAAAAGACAAAAGCACATGGCAATTCTGCTTCCATTAGAAATGGAAGTGTGACCCCCTATTTTGTGGCTAGGGGCTTATAACATTCTGCTAATGATCTTTGGGCTCCCCCTGCTGGGACCTGTGGCATGTCCAAGTCAGATGACAGCTTGGAAAGTTGGTCCTTGAAAAATTGAACAAATTTGGATTTTAGACCCTTCCATTTGCTAGCTCAGCACAACTAGACCCCTGATAACTGAGTGGTTTAAGAATTTGAGAAACGGGGATAAAGTTTATAGAGACCAGTTTTGAAGGTCAAAAGGGTGAGAAGTCGTGTGGGAGAGCATGTAGAATCTAGCATTGTAGAGACAGGGAGTAGGAACATGTATATACCTAAGAGGGACTAGTCAAATTAAGAGTAGCAAAGGGTTGAGGGAAGACTAGATTACAAATGAGTAAAGAAAATTTGGTATTGGAAGGAAAGGAGCAAGAAAAAATTATCATGCTTTCAAATGGGACAATGAATGTTTACAATTAAATAGCATATTAAGAACTTGCACAGTGATATGAAGCTAGGAATGTTTCCACTGGAGGTAGCATATGGAAGAATTCTCTGTGGGACCCTATTGTTGGAGAGGCTTCCTAGTTCTCCTGTGTTCATGTGAAGTTGTGAAACAGGGTACAGCGAATGCATGTCCTTTTCTTAGGGCTCACCCGCATGGCAGCAATGATCAGAAACATTTCTAAGGAGCTGGAGGAGAGTGTGGGCCCAGACGACTGGGGTTGCTGGCATCTCTTCTGGGACTTGCCATGATTCTTCTCTTTACTTGCTGCAACATGGAACAGAAATCCATTATTTCCTTCCCCCTTCACTTCTATGTAGGGGTTTCTAGAAATTTGCGAGTTCCTAGTCCTATCATCCATCATAGCACTGACCTCTTCTGGCTTCACTTTAATTTTCCAGTATTAGCACATGGTAAAGGAAAAAAAACCTTTAGATTCCTGAAAAATAGGGAGAGTGTCCATTGCACTGTGAAAATGATTGTCCTGAAGGACAAGCTAAATCTACTTACCTTAATAAAATAAGAATGACATGGTTAGATGAACTAGTACTTTTTGTCTTGCATACTTATTTCCCAGAAGGGGGCAGCCGGTTAACCAGAGTTACTGTTCAGTGATTTCAGAGAATAGTAATATTATCTTCAGTGTGCCTTTGGACATGGTTCAAACTGTTAATTAATTTGTTCATTTGTTCATTCATGCTGTTAGAGAACAATCCAAACTAGATTCCCGTAACCCTCCAAACTTGGAGTCTTATGGGCATCCTATGCAAGGTAGAAAGAGTGCAGCAGCAAAAGACTCTTCCAACCTGCAAAACCAGGTGGATTTTGGCTTTTTAAATGGGGTACCTTGGATCTGGGAAGGAAGGAGGCTGAGAGATTGACAGGATACCCTTGTGGTTCTGGGACATTCCCTTCCCCATGTCCTCAAATGCTCCCTGGGCCCTTTCTTGGGGGTTGCTTGTACAACCTTGGAAAGGCAGCTGTACTGCGTACAAGCACAAGGGCTGTGTAGTTGAGTCTCCAAGAAATCATGTGGCCGCTTGAACACTGCCTAGTGGCCTGAAGGTTGTGCTGGGAGTTACTTCGTCAGCATATACTGCTTCTTGAATCCTATAAGATTTGCAGAATAGGTATAAATTTAAAAACTGAAATCAGAAGCAAATAACATTGAAAGAATGTTGGTATACTAGAAGTAAATCGCCTTGAGGAAGAATAATTGAAAGCCAGGGTGCCATAAAAAAGCCTTCTCCTTACTCCTCTCTGACAAAGGTGGGACTCAGAGAAAAGCTTTTGACAAATATTGTGCTACAAGCTTGTAAAAAAATGATGATCAGTAAAGTAGGTACTGATCTTGCTCCATTTAAGTGTTTTATAGATCAGAAAGGCACAAAACTTTGAAGTGTGCTTGGGAACCTGTGCAGTTGTTTTTATACGGTAGGAAATGTTCCCAGTTCCTGGGTACAATCAGTAACCTTGCTTCTATATTGTACAGCACTTGTTATTTCAATGGAATCAAAGGCTATGAATTGTAGTGCCTTTATTGTCCATATTACAATGCTGAATACTGCATTCCCAGAAAGAAGATGTGTCTAAGTGTTTATCTAGAAAAAATTGTGGAGCAATTATATAGCAAGTGATTGTTTGTTAGCTGAGGATACAGTCTCTGGAAAGCTTTCAAAATTGTAATGGACCATGTATTTGCAGTGGGGGTGAAGGTGAGAATGAACATTTCACAGAATTTCATAGCCATCGCTTTTAACTACTGATGAGCATACAATCTCGGTGAAGGCGGTGAGACTTAATATGTCTGGACTGTTGCATCTCTGAAATGTGGTTGATGGTGGGGGCGGGGGAGCACCTAAGCTGTACAGGGGCTTCCATTTAGATGTGTCCAGAAATGTGGAATGAAGTCGATTCCTTATGACGTGTGCAATAATAAGTCTACCGTTATTATTAGTGGGCCATGGTGTTCATATACACATTCTCTTGTGCACCCATTTGCTCAGGCAACAAATACACATCCCAGCTAAGTGGCTTTGGAGATCATATGGAGGCACATTCCCCACAAGATTTATGTCATGCACAGGGAACTCTTCTTAACATTGGAATTGGAGCGTTGCAGAGCTTTGGAGTGTGGCTTGCATGAAGTAGTAACAGGGTTCACAGGGTACAGCAGCCCATCATGGGCAGCTAGCCATGGTTTGCTGTCTCATTTGAATCTGAGCAGCATCTCACAGGGTGGCTTGATTTGGGGAAAGGGAGTTTTTGTTCCAGGGTGTTCCAAGAGCCAGACCCTTCCCTCCTTGACACTTCACAGTGAGCAAGACATTGTAAGTCTAATGGCCTTCTATTATTATTATTACTATTACTATTACTATTACTATTACTATTACTACTATCAACATTTATACTGCTATTGTTGCTGTTATTATCAACATTTATTCTATACTGCCCATAGCCAAAGCTTTCTGGGCAGTTCATAATATTGTCACCCATCCAGATTTCAGCCAGGCCCAACCCTGCTTAGCTTCCAAGATTAGGCAGAATCAGGCACCTCAGGTTATATGGAAGCTATGCTGCTGGAAAGATAAGCTTCTGCTAATGTAAAGAGTTTACACAAACTGGAACCAGTCTGTCTTCCTGAGTAACTCTGCAGCCTTCCTCAGGGTAGCTCCTGCTGGTGGACAGCCAGCCAAGGAGACCTATACAAGTCCTCTAGCTGGGAAGCATCCCTCCTGATGCCTTGTTATGGGGTCAGTGACAGGGTCAGACATCTGCTCTCCCCCGCTCCCCTTTTGAAGCGCTCTCCCATCTCTTCTAAAACAGGCCTGTTTTCACAATTGGCCTGCAAAATGGCAGGACGTGACCTTGAGGGACTTCAAAGGCTTCTACCCCCTTTGATCCTCTTGCCCACCCCCATGCCTTCTCTCTGTCTCCCTCAGAATCCGATTACTCATTCAGCAAAGAGTGTGTACCTGGTCCACTCACTGCACAGGGCTTGCTCAACTCAGGATGAGCTGTCATGCTGCCTAAATGCCGGAGATGAATCCCATGGTGGGAGATGATGAGTGAGAAGCTTGGCAAGAGTGGCAAACGCCCCTTGCTGCTCTTGGCAGACTTGCTTGTATAGCAGGCAGTGGCACTTGCTCCACCAGTGCCCATGAAGCTCTTCTGAATGACCATCACTAGCGCCTTTCCTTTGTGAGAACACAAACACAAATATGGTTTGCAGCTTTGACGGTAACTTTCAAAAAGCTTTCCCTGGACTTCTGATAGGCCTATCTACAAAAGGACTTAATGTCCAAACTTGCAGGGTCAGTGTCCTATTTGGATTGAACTACCTTGTGCCTCAGTAAACCATACTGTTCTCTGAACCAATTGTGGCTCTTTCTTTTCACTGTTTCCAGGATTGGTGGTTCTTGTTAATCCTCGCTGGGGTTGGTTAGAACAGAACAGAGCGCTAGGCTATCATAGGCTCTACCCCCTGTTCTTCAAGCCCTTTGCGCTTGCTGAAGTAGCAGAAGTGGCTGCCCATCCAGTGTGGTCTACCTGGAAGTAGAATGCTAAGCCGTTAACATGGAATGTTGTACTTCTACAGACATTAATATCAATAATTTGATTTCCTCACTCAATTTTCAGGAGAAAGTTATGTGGTCAGTCAACTGGGAGAGAAATCCCCTAAGCTCTGTGATGCATACCTAAGCTTTTCTGTTGATGAGCCTCTCATGAGTGAGAAACAGAAGCGTGAGTTAAACCCACTGATTATTAGGATTAAATCTGCCAGATGCTTACCAACCACACCTGTTCCCATTGAAGAGCTACAGGTAATTCAGAGTGTTCTTCCTGTTTCAAGATGACTAGATAACTGCAGTTTGTGATATAGAACAGAATTATGAAGAACAGAATATGTTTTGGACTCCTTCTGCCCTCAGCCTGGGTCAGCACAGCCAATTATCAAGGATGCTGGGAGTTGTAGTCCAAAGCATGAGTTCTGTGTAGGAAGGTGGGAGCTAGTGTAGCATAGTAGAGTGTTGGATTGGGACTCAGGAGCTCTGAGTTCTAGTTCCCACTCAGCTATGAAGCTCACAGAGTGACCTTCGGCCAGTTGCTTATTCTCAACATAACCTATCTCAAGAGTGGTTGTTGTGAGGGTAAGATGGAGAGAAAGTTGAGGATTATAAGAGCTGCTTGGATTCCTTGCAAGAAAAAAGGCAGGATATAAATATAATAATAAAGTTCAGTAGCTGAATTGTATTGACAACAGAATGCTATCTCTTCCACCTTTTTTCTTACATAGAGTTCATGTGTTCCTGTTTACTGCAAATACAAATTCTGGAATATGCCTCCCCATCGAACACGAGGTCGAGATCATGGAACTGATGTCTTCTTTAATGATACCAATGTGATTCTCATAGGAACAGTTAAGCCTGGAGAACTGAGTGAGTATCTCAGAGGACCACCATTGGAAATTGAAGTCCATGACCGAGACAAAAAAATGGAAGCTATCAAGACCATGCCTTCCTTGTTTGGAGAGGAACCAGGAGACAACAAAATAAGTGACGTGAACGTGGTCACTTCCACATACATGCTTCAGCATCCCATTAACATGGAGGAAATGTGGCATCCCTATGGGGTGGCTAAAGTCAGCCTGGCTGATTTACTGCTAGGTGAGAAGGCCTTGAACTTCTCTGCACCAATCCATAACTGCTCAGTTCAGGATACAACTGTCTGCCAAGGGGAGACCATCAGTCAGAAGGCCAGGGGAGCTGGTGGCTCTCAAGTTGTGCAGCTGCCAATGGGGCATTATGTAAACTCTGAGTCCTATCTTAAAGTGAGGGTTGAAATAACTGTGCCGTTACGGCCTGCAGATGAATTGGATGACTCTGAAATGGAACATTGCCCCTATGGCTACATCATCTATATTTTTGACTATAAGAATACATCGCTCTGGAGTCACTTGCTGCGAGAGATTACAGAAATCAACGCAGAAGCGCTTAAACTTGATTCTTACCCACTGCATATAATTCAGAAATCCCTTAATACTTTAAAACTGAACCAGAAGCTTTCAGCAGAGGAGATTGCTCAACTGGACGTCCTTACTGGATTTCACATACTGGATGGAGCTTTTCACATTCTTGTTTTGGAAGGATTGAAGAACAAAGCACTTAAGAAGATGTTCAGTACAAGAATAGATAGGTAACCAAAGCTATTTTATTATTTAAACCTGTTCTGCAGAGAAGGCAATTTATGGAGGCAGCTAATTGTGTGTGTTGCTTGGGCACTCATACACAGAAAACAAGATCAGAAACAAATGATCAAGGGCTATTCTACAAGAGGTATTTATTGTGTGCTTCTGATTCCTTACTGATTTCTGTTTATGGGCATGTTGGACAACAGAAGACTTCAGTTTCACTTGTTTTTTCCAGCACACTTCCCTTTGTGTGTGTGTATTAGAAAGGGGGAGAATGACTCACTTTTTCTTGATGTATTTGTGCTATTCTGTAGCACAGCTCTAACTAGAGAATGTGCAGCAAAAAAGCAGGAAAGTTGTGACAAAACCAAAAGAAGATATAGTTCTTAACAGCACACTAAACTGCTCATGTAGAAAAGCTCCAAAGATGTCAAACATAATGAAGCTTTTTCCTGGGCTATACCACCTCAGGCCGTAGCTGGGAAATTTCATAGAATCGTAGTAGAATTGGAAGGGGCCAGGAGATTCAGCCTGCTACTGTAGCAGAACACTGAGTTTCACTAAGTTTCACCCATTCAGATAACTGTCTAGATGCTTTTGGAATGCCTCTAACAAGGGAGAGCCCACAGCTTCCCCAAGGAGTAGGTCTCATTGTTGTACAGCTCTGACAGTGAAGGCATTCTTCCTGGTGTCTAGTCTAGTCTAGTCTGGTTTCTTTTAATTTAAATCCATTATTCTGTGTCCTGCACTCTGGAATGAACAAGAAGAGATCTTGTCCTTCCTCTCTGTGGCAGCCCTTGAGGTGCTTGTAGCATGCTATCATTTCATCCCTCAGTCTTCTCTTCTAGAGGCTGAACATGCCTTATTCTCTCTGTCTTTCCCCATAAGGCCTTGCCCTCCTCTATACTCTTTCTAGCCTTTCTGCATCTTTTTGAAACTTAGGTGTCCAGAACTGGTCACAATACTCCAGGTGAGGTCTTGACTAGTGCTGAGTATAGGGGCACTAGTATATCATGTATTTTGGAAGTGATACTTCTGTTAAAGCAGCCCAAAATAGCATTTGCCTTTTTTGCAGCTGCATCAGATTATTTGCTCATATTTAGCTTGTGTTCTACAAAAAAGATCCTTCTAATTTCAGTATTGTTATTCTCCATCTTGCAGTGGTGCATTTGGTTTCTTGTTCCTAAGTGGAGGACTTGACATTTGTCCCTATTGAATTGCATTCTGTTGTGCTCTGCCCAGTGTTCTAACCTATTGCAATCAACCTGTATCTTATCTCGGTCTTCCAGGGTATTTGCTATTCCACCCAGCTTTGTGTCATCTGCCAATTTAATTCTCTTTCCTTGTATTTCCTTATCTAAATCATGAATAAAAATGATGAAGAGTACCAGTCCCAGGATAGAACCCCGCGGCACCCCACTTGTCACCTCTTTCCAGTTTGAGCGTGTGCCATTGATTAAGCGCTCTTTGAGTTTGAGTTTGTAACCAGTTGTGGATTCGCCTAATGGTTGCACTATCTAGCCCACTTTTTGCTAGTTTGGACTAGTGGTTGTGGATGACCAGCAAAAACAGGAAAACTGCCTCAGGGACCACTGAGAAAGAAATAAAAGCACCATACACATAATACAGTATTCTGTGTATTTGTTTTCAAAGACGATACCAAAAAAATGAAAATTCTCCAAAACAACCAGAAACCAAGCAACAAAAAATGCCAACAAAAGAACAAAATACTGATACCAGTGCAGCGTGGTTCCCAGCCAGCTTCCACCGAGCTGTCTCTCCCCTCCTTGCCTGCCTCCAGCAGCACCATTGCACCCCCTGCAACCGTGATGCCAACTGAGGAAGAGGTGGTGGGGCACAGTCAGCCCCCATGCCTGTTTGCAGTGAGTAGGATGCACCCCCTCCCCCTGCAGAGCAGCAGGAAATCTCTCGCAAACCTGTGCCAGTGTGCGAACTGTTGGTTGAAAACCACTGTCGTGGACCGCTTTGGCAAAGGTTTTGCTAAAGTCTAGATAGATTATTATTGGGTTTTTTTAAGTAAATTTTTATTATTATTTTCTACAAACTAAAAAAAGAAACTAAAAACATCAATCATCAGAAACATCAGACCTGCTGGGTCAGCCCCCCATTTTTTTTATAGCAATCCGTAAACATATTCAAATCTACACATAGTCCCGTTTTTCTAGCCAATAATAAAAAGAGTTCCAAGTTTGATGGAAGTATGTATCCTCTTTCTCCTTCAGAGACAAAGTCAGTCTGTCCATTTCAGCACAATCCAGAAACTTTTTAAAAATCAGTTCTTCAGTGGGTGGTTCTTCACTCCTTCAACGTTGGGCAAGATTATTATTGTTTTATTTATTGCTTCTATATACTACTTAACAGCCATGCATGGCTCCCAGCCATGCTTTACAAAAAGCAATATTAAAAATAGATGTTCATAATTACATTCTATAACAATTACAAGAGTAAAAACAATAAAATAAAATTATGTCCATTTGGAAGGTTATCTAGTCAAAAAATGTAATTAGGTTAGTCTGGCAGGATTTATTCTTGAGAAATTCATGTTAGCTTCTAGTAATTACTGCATTGTCTTCAAGTTGTTTGCAGACTGTTTGCTTTCTAATATGTTGAATTTTTCCAGGGAGTGATGTCAGATGAACAGGTCTATAGTCTCCAGGTTCATCTTTTTTCCTTTCTCATAGATAGGGACGACATTAGTCCTTCTCCAGTCATCTGGTACTTCTCCTGTCTTCCATGAATTTTCAGAGATGATAGTGTTTCTGAGAGTTCTTCTGCTGGCTCTTTTATGACTGTGGCCCTGGAAATTTGAACTCATTCAATCCAATTAGACCTTGGCCATTTGCCTGTCAATCTTAGGCTGCTATCCTGTCCCTTCATCTTGTATTATAGCTTTGTTGGGAAGTTTGTAGTTCTTCTTTTGGAGAAGAGCCAAAGTAGTTGAGCACTTCTGCCCTTTCTTTGTCATCTGTTATCATTGTTCCATCTACATTGAGTAGTTCTCTTTGATCTGTCTTTTGCTTTGGACTTGCTTGTATTTTTTGATGCTTGTAGCTCCCCTTGCTAGCTTCAGTTCATTGCTTTAGCCTTCCTGACATCATCCCTGCAGTTCCATGCTACTTGCTTATATTCTTCTTCTGTAGCCTGGCCTTCCTTCCACCTCCTATACATGTCCTCCTTTGTTTTCAGATGATCTCTTAACTTTTTGTGAAGCCACATGGACTTCCTCTGTTGTCTAGTATTCTTTTTCCCTGTTGAAATTGTTTTAGTCATGCCTTCAGCATTTTTTTTAAAGATATTTCACCCTTCTTGGGCTCCTTTTCTCTTTGGACTGGTTTGCCATGGAAACTTGTTCATCATTGCCCTGAATTTGTTGAAATCCAGGGTACATGCTTGGCTATCATTTAGTTTGAATTTCCTTTATTATTGAGAATTCAAGTAAGACACGGTCACTTTCCTCCAGAGTTTCCATGGCTGTTACTTTGTCCACTGTGTCATCCCTCCTGGTTGGGATCAGGTCGAATAAAGCCATACCTCTTGTTTATATTTCTGGTTTCTACTGGAGGAAGTTATTAGTGACACATGTTAGGAATCTCTTAGAGGGGCTGTGTTTGGCAGAATTTGACTCCAAACAGATATCAGGGATATTGAAGTCCCCCATAATGATGACATCATGTCTCCTTGAAATACTGGCAATTTGTTTTTCGAAAGTTTCATGTTTATCTTCTCCTTGATTGGATAGACGATAATAGACTCCAGCTACTGTACTCCTTTTGCTGTTTATATGAATTCAGGTGCACTTGATGGGATTACTGGTCTCTTCTTCCTTATTTCTTTGCAGAGATAATGTATCTTTAACATGAAGAACTCCACCACCAAACTCCTGTTTGCTCTCCCTGTTTGCTTTCCCTTGGGAGCTTGGCTGCTTGTATCACAGAGGCCATAGACCACCTGGGGCAGCTTCCTCCGATCTGCTCAGCTAGGAGTCAGGAACCAGAATGCATCCCATTTGTTAAAAAGAACAAAAACAAAACAGATCTGTGCATGCAGAACTAATATGCTGCACGGAAGGAGGCTAATCAACTTTTTCCTAAAATGAGCTATACTCTGAGCCTGTGCTAATTGGCATACTTCTTTCCAGCAGCTAGCGGAAACTTTTCTGCAGTGCACATAGCAAGGGCCAAGGGATCAAGGGCAAAGAATTAACATCTGTTACCTCTGTCAGGATTCCAGTCCGAATTGTGTCCTGCTTCACTTGGTACATACCTTGTAAAAAGCCGCTCTTGCAATTGGTAATCACACAGTCCGTGTCTGGCCCACTTTGACTTTTATCACAAGCCTGACGTGTTTGTGATGGGATGTCCTGACACAGCCAGCTTCTGTGTGCTCCTTTTGCTATTATAACCCATTCTTCCGGTAACCTTTTGCTTATTTCTCTTTCACTTCAATAATCTTCCTAAGCACAGGCATTTACAGATAATAGAAAGAAGTCATGGAGCACTTTAATTTCATGCTTCCTTGCTAACACTGTAATGTACGAATGTTACAAATGCAGTGTCAGCCTCTGTTCTTCTTTTAAAGGAGTTGTTTTGACAGGTTGCAGGATGAGAAGCGATGGTTAAGGCCAAGGCTGTGTATTGATGATCCCTTTTCAGAGAGTGGAGGAAACACTGAAAGGGTGTCATTACCAGAGTTAATTTTTTGCTTTTTTCCCTTTCATGGTTGGTTCTTCAAACTGACTGAACCTATTTTCATAGTGCTGTAAGTTGTATACTTTAAAAACTGCAGTACAGTTTGTTGAGATTTGTTATGGGGAGCATATATGAAAAACACCACCTTGCCCACTCTTCTTTTAATTGCCCTTTCTTGGAATATAGGACTCTGCATACGAAGTCGGCATTTTATATGCAGTGGTGGTAGATTCCTGCCTTGTGGTCCGTGGCCTCATCATCCTCCAGGACCACTTCCATGCTTTCCAATAGAGAAGCATTTTCACTGCTTCCTTTAGACGGAGACAACTCTAGTGTTCTCTGGTGGAATGAACCAGAATTAAAAGCGCATGTGTTTTTGCAGTACCACTCCAGTGTTATGCTACCTTGTGGTTGTGCAGTGGGGCATACTGAAAGGCAGAAACCCTTTAAAACAATGGACTAACTGCAGCAGAAAATGTGTGTAAAGGAACCAGTCTTAATCCTGCAAAGAATCTGGAGGCAGAAATTTTGGTAAAGTGGCAGGATGAAACCTTCATAAAGAGAAGCCTCTAGTCTAGAGAAGCGAGCCCCACCATAAAGGGTTTTCAGAATGACCAAGCCAGCCACCCCACTTCCTCTGTGCCACATCACCTGACATCCAGAAATGGAATGAATTCGTTTTAAAAAGGCATACAAAGCATAGCATCTAATCCTCTCCTGCTGCAGCAAATTCAACATTGTTGCAAAGCATTCAAAACACAGCATCCAGCCCCGCTCCCCCATTCCACATTAATATTCCTATATCCACACATAGCTGAACTATGCATGATGCTTTGCTCTCTTTTCCAGTGAGTGTGCCTGGCCCCAGTTCCGATCAGGAACGTGGGCACTTCAGGACAGGAGTGGGGGTATCGGCTTCCCTCCATTTTTGTCCTGAATTAAAGAGGCTAAAGAAAAGAAAACAGTCCCACTGCTGTCATCGAAAATGACTTCCATTTCCCATCTGCTCAGAGTTTTGACCATTGGGCAGCACAGAAATGGAATAAGTAAAGAAATGTGATGGATACGGTAACCACTGTAATAAATGAAATAATTCAATAGATGTCATATGCTCCTTCAGCTCTCAGCTGCACCACTTGCTCGTGCTGTTCCCATTAAAGAGGAGTGCATACCTCACAGTGTTAGAACCATTTGTTAATTATTCCCCTGCTTGATTATACTATTTAAGCTTATAGGTAATTTATTCTGTTGGAATGAATCTAATATTAAGCCAAGAAAAGCATTAAATTAGTAGCCAATATTTGCTTTGTAAGCAGTAATATTTTTAAAACAAAATAGCACTCAGGTAGAAAGGCTGGTAATTTATATCTAAGTCACCTATTATTAGCCTTTAGACTTGAATGCCATAGGTCTCTAGATTTAATTTTTTATCATACCTAATTTCTGGGAACCTTTTAGTTTCACTTTCTAAGCAGGAGCTGCAAATTGGTTTTTTAAAATGAAAACATCAAGTCGGACTGGTGGACCACTTTATCTTCTAGATTTGGTTTTTCTTATGGATTTCATAAGGGTAACCATTTGAGAGCGCCATACTTGGATAATCTGACCTTTTCCAGACTTAGACAAGCTTTTACAGTTTTATGATTTCTGTCTGTGCCAACAGCAACCTTAGATGCCACATTTTGGCAGATCCCTTACGATCAACAAGGAAGGGTTGCTAGAAATGCCAGAGATGTGGTTGGTACATTATGGTCAAGGCCCTTGTATCCGTTATCATGCTCAACATTTCTTGGAAATCTTATATCCTGATTGTAGCCTGAAGGTGGTTCATAAATAAATGTGACCTCTCTGGTTAAGATCATAAACGAACCCATCAGCTTGTGCTTTTTGTCTTTGCCACTTGAGTATGCAATGTCCTAACAATTGTATGTATGGTTTTTATAAAGGCCTAGATGTGTTTTAATTCAGATTCACTGCGCTATTTTTATTAGTTTAATTTCCCCAATATTTTACTGCTGTTATACATTTTGTAATGTTGCAGGGACTTTATTAAAGGCCATTGTCTAATAAATGACTGACTTGTAGAAAGGCAAGCTACAAATGAAATCAATATATAAGTGTAAATTCCACATACTCTGAAGTGCATAAAAAGTTAGGATGAAGGTTATAACAAACATAAAGACCATGTAAGATTTATAGATTTACAATAACTAGATTAGCAGTTCATGATATGGTACTTTCTCTTTTTAATAGGAATGTTTATCTGAATTTAAAATACGAAAAACATTCAACTTGGAAATGAAAAAAGAAAAAATACTGGTATTATCTGGAAGTTCGAGAAACATGAGATGATGGAATATTTGATTAACACAAACTAACCTTTTTATTATTTATTTGTTTATATACTGTCCAACTACTAAAATCTTGGGACAATCTTTTTCTGTTATAGGTTGCATGAAACTAAAAATGGAAGACTACAAATACTCTATAACTCACATCTAGCTTTTCATCAGCGCCTGTATGTAGACCTTGAGGCTGTCCTTTTTCATATCCGTCTCTGCAAGCCACTGTCTAGTCTCATGAAGCAGCCCTTGCTGTATGTCCGGGATATGATTCCCCAGCCGTGTTTTGAAGCTCTGAGAAGGTTAGATTGTTCTTAAATGTGACGTGCTCTTTCAGATAAAAGTAGAGGGTTAATGTGTAAGAATGTGTGTGTGTGAAAGAGAGGGAGTCTCCCCTAGTCCCTTTTCATACAGAGCTTTTAGGGCACTTTGCACACATTATAATCTCCCAATAAGATACAAGATAGAAAATTCTGGCTGTTTTGCAGATGCTGTACAGCCAGAAGTTCATGTCATACTTTGAGGATTTGCATAGCACCATATGTCATATTGGGCATTCCCAGTGGATGGCACGAGTTACTCATCAGCTGCTTTGTCCCGGACAGCTGAATGTACTTGTTATTACACACGGTGTGTTGTTATGTCGTTGGCACCTGGGAGAGTGGTTTTGTGTAGTTGCTGGGATCAGCTCCAGTGCCACTTTTGTTGCTCTTCAGATTTTGCCAGTGTTGCCTCCAGCCTCGTTCACCACCGATTGCCCTCCACCAATGCCTAGATGGTACTTTGGAGGACTTTGGTGGCACTTATTTGCCACCTTAAAAAATGGGGTGCTTTGGGAGTATGATGTGCAGTAAGTAACATACAAGGAAATGGCCAGGATGAGGCTGCATATAAGATAATTTGCACACTGTGAAGGGCTGGGGAGAAACAATAGTAAGAGAAAGGAGGCGCCCAGCAGTGCAGTTCAGAAGCACCAAATATGGGAGGGGAGAGTGAACAAATTAAGTGCACTAGAACAGAGGAGCAGCAATATTAGTGTGGTATGGAAGCCTCCCCTTTTGTCACAAAAGACATAGCCCATCTATAAAGTTTAAATCATGCCCTCCACTCAGGATTTTGGATTGTTTTTACTCATGTTCCAGCATGGCTGTGTTTGCTTTTAATAAAAAGGGGTAGTAGAGGGGACATGGGAAATTACAGGCCGGTTAGCCTTACGTCCATTCTGGGAAAGACAATGAAAAGGCTCATAATAGCAAGAGATCCGGTAACCCTAGATAGGGAAGAGAGGTTGGCAGCCATACAACACGGCTTCCACAAAAACGGGTCCTGCCAGATGTGGAATTCTGTGACAAGAGGGAGGGGATGTGGTCGATGTGGTTTATCTGGATTTCAGCAAGGCCTTTGACAAAGTGCCACATGACATCCTGGTTGAGAAACTGAGGAGTTTTGGGACAGACCAATGCACTTTCTGATGGATTAAGGCATGGTTGATGGACTGAAAGCAGAGAGTAATTATTAGTGGGAAATCATCAGGATTGTGGCCAGTGAATCCCTCCAGGGTTCTGTTCAGGATGGCATTCATTGTGTAAGAACTTGCACTTGGGACATAGGAATGGCTGTTGTAACTACAAGTTAGGGGACAAGTGGCTGAAGAGTAGCACTTGTGAAAGGGTTCTCAGGGTATTGGTCGACTGCAGCTAAACATGGGTCAGCAGTGTGGTATGGCAGTCAACAGGGCGAGTGTCACCCTTGGAAGTATAGCCAGAAGCATGGCTTCTGGCTCGAGAGAGGTATTACAGCCACTCTATATGACGCTGGTGCGCCTGCAACTGGAGTATTGTGTTCATTTCTGGGCTCTGCATTACAGGAAGAACATATCCAGGTTGGGTTTGGTGCAGCGTAGGGCCACAAGGATGGTGGTCGGATTGCAGGGAAAACCATATGAGGCAAGACTGAGGGAACTGGGTCTTTTCATCTTGGGGGAGACTCTGAAGGGATCTGTTGGCGACGTGAGGGGTGTCACATGGAGGTGGGTACAGACCTGTTTTCTCCTGCTGATGAGGGCAGGGCGCGTTCCAGTGGAGCAAACCACTGGATGCCACTTGGTTCCAGGGAACCAAGGTTCAGTTTGGATGCCAGGAAATACTTCCTGACAGTCAGGACCCCTAGGCTATAGAATGGGCTTCCATGGGAGGTGGTTGAGGCCCCATTGGTTCAAGGATAGGCTAGACATGCACATGGTAGGCTTGTCATGAGTGGAGCTGACTGGACCTGGGGTGTCAGACTAGATGGCTCTGGAGGTCCCTTCTGACTCTGTTTCTATGTTTCTAAATGCAAATGGCAACAGGAGGATCTACTCTCACCGCCCCCCCCCCCAACACTTGACAAGGATATTCTTTTCAGTTGTCTCAGTCATTCCAGTAAGGGTACAGTTGACCTAAAAAGCTGTAAGTGGGGTGGAGGAGAGAGAGTTTGCTAAATTAAGGAGTGTCCTTCAACCCTAAAATACTACACTGCTATTCACACCTTGTCATGGTTAAGGATTGCATGGAACAAGGAGTTGTAGAAGACTGAAGCAGAGGTTTTTTCCCCATACTGTCTTGAAGCAATTTACTTCTACTCATTCAGACAATTGAGCCATTATAGATGTTGATCTTAAGACAACGCATTTGTGAAGTCTGTGAGAGCACACAAGCAACAGTGTAGTTCTGTCCTCCTGGATGATGTGACAGCTCCAACTGAGCTGTGAGTCAGCAGGGTGAGGAGAGCCAGACTGTTCTCTTGTCACCTGCTGTGTGTGTGCGTACGTGCGTGCGTGTGTACTAGGAGGCAGTGATCCAAACTAGAATGCAGACCTTTTGCTCTGATGTTGGGCGCGAGGGCATCTTTGCTGGTGTGTGGGCAATTTTATTGAGTTGCCATATATCTGTTTCTATAACTGAAGGACACAGAAGGCTTCTTTGACATGCAGAAAAATAGTGCTGTGGCTGTATTAATACCTGGCCGTGCTGCTGTGTGCATTTCTATCATATTCTCTACTGAGTGGATTTCTCAGTTTTCATTTCTTCGTTGCAATCCATGATGGCAGTGGATAACCAATTTCACGCGATCTCTCTTGCCATCCCTCCTCTCATTTCATTCTGCAGGCTGGATTACCTTTGCTGCAGTAAGAAGTTAAGGGATGTGGTCCATCACAACCTCTTGCCCTCTGCAGCAATGATCACAATGCTAAGTCAAGAGTTTGGGGTTCCCTTGACTAAAGATGACCTGTTCATTCAGGAGCACGCAGACACCTTGGAGGCATGTCATAGCCCAACCAAGTATTTCCCCATGAAACGAGGCAAACGTTCCCATTTGGAGAACTACAATGAAGAGTACCTAGTAAGAAAAAGAAACATGGAAATCCAGATGCCACAAGATTACATTAAGGTGGGGCTGCAGCAGTGAAAGACTCTTAAAGCTTATGCCTGTTTTTGATGTACATCATACAGTGTGCATGTAGAGAATGGGTAGTTAGCACTCTCGTACCAATCTATCCCACATCTGGAAAACAAATTCAGCAGGAAATTATTCAAGTTATTTTTGCTATATGTGCATTTGAGACTTCATTATTTACTATTGCCATTACTGCTATTACTTAAGTCAACATATGTACCCCTTGCCTTATCTAGTGATACCTCAGGTGGTTTAAAAAGCAGAGATCAAAATATGTCATAATAAATAGAAAATGCTGTCAGTTAAAATAGTTAAAAGCAAAGCTAAAAGCATGTGAATTAGCAAACTAAGATGTATGAGAGAGGACACTAGGGAGTGTCGCTCTTCTGTTAGAATCTGCTCTTGGGGTACATAGTGGGCTGTTGTGTCATAGGCACAGACTATATCAAGAAGCAAGTTCCAGAGCAGGGGTCCCCAACCCCTTGGCTGCAGACTGGTACCAGTCCATGGCCTGTTAGGAACTGGGCCGCACAGCAGGAGGTGAGCTGTGGGCAACTGAGTGAAGCCCCATCCACTTCTGCAGCCACTCCCTGGTGCCAGCACCCGCCCCCCCCGGACCGCCAGGCACCAGACCCTCACACGGGGTGTGCAGCCCAGATCCCCCACCCGCCCTGGCTCATGTCAGCAGGCAGCCATTTGCCAGGGGCAGCGCGGCAGACAGGGACGGGCTGCCATGAACCACCGGGGCTGGCAGGGAGCACAGCGCTCTTACCAGGTTCTGATAAGGAGCGCCTCTGCCACTCCTCACAGGAGCGCGACCCCCCCTGCAAACTGTGCATGTAAGGGATCCAGGCCGTGTGTTCCCCACAAGAATCCAGTCCCCTACAATCTGAGGTGGAACTGAGGTGGTGGTGCCAGTGCTGGGGAGCGGCTGCAAACACAGACAGCCTCCCTCGCCTGTTTGCCCTCCCCACACAGTGTGGTCCGGCTCCTAACAGCTCCCACTGATTCTGCATTATGAAGAGTTTTATAATTATTTCATTATATATTACAATGTAATAATAATAGAAATAAAGTTCACAATAAATGTAATGCGTTTGACTCATCCCGAAAACATCTCCACCCCCTAGTCTGTGGAAAAATTGTCCTCCATGAGCCTGGTCTCTGGTGCCAAAGTGTTGGGGACCGCTGTTGTAGAGCACTGCGAAGGTCTGACTGAATTGCCCGTATGGCTGTATTTTGTCAGCCTTGTGAACTCTGAAGTTCCAGAGATTTACTTCAGAAAGTGTGTCTATCATCACTGAGAAAGGGCACAATCCTGTGTCTGTATAGACAGAAATGAGGTGTACAACTTCTAGCATGTTGGCTTAAGGATGCTGGGAGCCAACTGACTTCTTTTGCATTTGTTGTTCAAACACGCACAGAACTGAACCCAAAAGAGCCTTTGTTATTAAGAAGAATGATGAAGTGAAATTTTTACCTGCATAGAAAAATGGTTATCAACAGGCAGACAAAGCAAAAACAAAAAAAAATGCACCCACGTTCACGAGCTGAACAATGATTGGCATCTGGCCCATCAGCACCAGCTGTTTTCCAACCACATTTCTGTCATTCAGTTAGGTACAGGCTGCCTGATGATTGACAGATGACATTCATAATAATCATCTTGTGGGGGGCGGATGCTTTCAGAAGGTGGATGGAGAGAGAGAGAGAGTGAAGGCTTCCTGCAGGTTTTGTTTTGCCTGCTATTTTCGTTACTGATCTGATCCATGGCAGGGGCAGCATATTTATTTTAGGAATGCATTTTTTTTCCTCTAACAAGGGTTAACAAGACCAGAATAATCTCACATACTAATCTCTCTTCCAGTCTAATATTGAAAATATTCACCTGCTCAGCAAGATGGTGAAAAAGGAAGCCCCGAGAACCATCAGGGCTTTCCCTTCTGATGGCAAGTCTATCTTTAACTATAGTACTCAAACCCTGAATTCTGCAGAAATTGCAAAGAAGCTACTTCGTCAGGACATGGCACAGGTGAGAAAAAAAGAGTTCTGCATCATTTTCAATATTTTATTTATTGCTTTCCAAATAAATTAAGCTGTCCAGATATATTTATATCAAGGATGGCCTATAAAAGCTTTTAATAATAAATAAATAATTCATATTTGAATGATCTATATATGCCTACAAATTTTTTATTGTACAAAGATGTTTTATTGCAGGCAAATCTGTTCTCAATTGCTTTAATTGTTGGATTTTGTATATTTTAATTACATTGTGTAAACCATTTTGAGAGCATTATGCTAATTAAACAGTATATACATTAAATAAATAAAACTGTGTGCATGCATGCATGCGATTAAACTAACAAAATCAAAGCAGGAAACAAAATGTGACCAGAAAATGTACACACAGCGATCACCCACGGAAGCCTTTACAATCTATCTGGGTTGGGAGGTGTTCCCAGTCCACTCCCGCGTTTTCTCTAAATCTGCTCCTAAGAATTGCTGAACCCACCAGAGCAGTGTTTTGGCTGGTGCACTGAAGAGCAGAAACGGGAAAGTCTTACTGCATTAGCAGATATTTCCTAGTGTGATGCTCAGTTTGACCCCATATTTTTTTAAACAGAGTAAGATAAAAAAAATAAAATACATATTCATAGATCTATATATGCATGAAATGCTGGGGATGAAGTCATAGTAACCAAGACAGGAATATGCCAAATCTTTAAACTTTTTTAGGTGCCAGACAAGAGGTTTGCTTATAGTGATGAATATATATCAGGCATGTTTGATCCAGTGGATGAGGACAGTGCAGCAAAAGAATCCATCAAGCAAACCAAGAAGTTGTGGCTGTCACCAGAAGGGTTTGTATATCCTGGATTTAAGAGCAGCATAGAAGCCAACTTGCATCGGTGCATGCCTGACGAGGCCCGACGGATGGAGCTATGTGAGGTAACGCTGAATTTTTAAATTTCTGCACAGTTGTCCTATCTGTAACCTGTCGTGTAATCCACACAACCCAGTTGGAAAGTTTGAGAGATAGTTCCAGTCCCCAGCCACCCATGGAGCTTTATGGCTAAGTGAACCTTGAAAGCCAAGTCCCTCATTTTCTCCATTACAATGCATCTTATGTGGGTGCAAGGCAGACTTCACCAGGCAAATTATATCCAGGATGTCCTTGAATGGACAGTGCGTGCTTTTAAAATCCTTATTCAAGGTATTTGCTGGATTTTAGATGGAACTGCTGCTCTGTCATAGTACGGTTAGATTTATAGGGCAAGCTTATGCATGTTTTCTCAGAATGTCCTTCAGTGTTCAGTGTGGCTTACTTCCACATATGCATGCATCTAGGGCAACCTATCCAGATCTTTGTATTTGTTATGATTTTCATGTTTCTTCTAAGTGGAAAGGCAGGGTAGACATTTTTAAACTGTCACTGGAAATAAGAAATGGGTATAAGTTTTCTTTCTCACCTTTCTTGCAGTTAAATTGACCATAATCCAAAATGGTTTTAGGCATCCCTAAAGCTTGGGCCTACCCAGCTCAACTTAAAAAACAAACAAGCCTTTGCTTTGACCTGTGGCCCTCCGTGCCATATCAAAAACTGCTTTGGAAAGTACTGCCAGGTTTCAGAATATATTTGCAGTGTGGCATGGGGAAGTTAATGATTGAAAAACTCACACACAAAGTGTGTCCTTGGAAATTGGAAGTTACTTCAGAACATGGCCTTAGGTTTGAGCTATTGCCTTAATTGTGAGTATCTGTGAGTGGGGTTTTTTTTTAACGCATCACAAGGAAATTAGTTATTGGAAGACGCCTTGTATTTCAGAATGATATATTTGCCAAATAATTGTATTGTTGAGTGACTTAAATGCACAATACCCAGCAAGCTTTCAGGATACCATTTATACTAAGATAATCAATGTTCATTTAGAAATGGCAGGAGAACTTTCTACATGCCAGCAGTATGAAGCCAGTGCTGGACCGGGACAGATGGAAGGGGGACAAGCATAAAATCGATTTTGACCTCTATAAAAAGCCATCACATGTCTTCATCACCCCTGACACATACAGAGAAGGTATGTACTTGTTTCCAGGTTAGTTCTGGATAATTAAGAAGTAGTGCATTTATGCAGGTACCAATCAGATATAAGGATAAATCAGTTATGAAACATTTATGCTTTAGCATGAAGAGTTCTTTTGAATAACCAGGAGCTTTTGTGGCATTTAAAAAATACTGAATCGACAGGCACTCATATTCTGAGATCAGGCTGTGAACCAGCTGACTCATATACACCACATGCTTTTTAAGGGTTATCTTAGATCTTAGCAGTATTATTTTACATGAAAGCAAAGTGCCCTTTATACATCACAGCACTGGGCAAGAAATGCCTTTCTGATTCAGCTGACAGCACTATTACAGTAATGTTAAGGCAACAATCTGCGACAAGGTCTTTGTAGATCACAGGTCTTTAAGTGCTCTAGCAGTGCTTTGTGATTAGCCCACAGAAAAACATTAAGTATGAGTGCCAAGTGTTGTTTTTAATAGATGGGACCCCTGGTGATTTAAGAACTAGCTTTTCTCCTGGGGGCTAAGGACAGGTAGATATCTTGCATTCAGTGAAATTACAACGGCTGCATTTTCTGTGCAAATGTTGTGCAACTAGATGGAAGAAGGAAGCTGCACTTCCACAACTGCACTGCCCTGAAAAGGCCTTGCAGGGCTGTATGTAAAACAGATGCACCGGTATGAGGATTTCTGAAGTGTCTTTATCAAAGCAATTATTTTTGTTTTTGGTAGGGAGCTTTTAGGCTGTGGCAGAGCTGGAACAAGAAAAGCAGCAGCAAAATTAGCTGAAACCTACTACTTGCATTTGTGTTGCTTTGAAACTAGTCATGAGATCAGAAACAAAGTCAATCTCATTCCGTATGATTTACATAAATACAATTTCAGAACTACTTAGGCAAGAAAATTTATTAACAGCTAATAGCAGAGTTTTTCATGGGAAATAGTGCTTCTGTATATTTTAAGAATTTAACTGTTGGTCCCATCACAGCTAACTGTTCTTATGTGTACTTTTCAATGGACGTATTTCTCAACAACAGAGCCTCAAAAAGTCATCTGCTGCAACACTGCACTGAAAGTTCATAGGTGCTGCCCAGCAACAGAGCTCATTTCCAGTGGACCAAATGCCAGTTGTCAGCTAGCACGTCTCCAAGGACTCCTGAAGGATAAACCAGTCAAGCTGTCCCTAAAGATGCAGGTACTATACATGGAAATCATTAAGCCAGGATGCTTTTGGGAGGACCTCCCAACCCATGGGCCAAGAGTTCATTTTTAACTGATTTATTATACTTTGCAAAACGTTTTGATTTGGTCAAATTCAAAATTCCAGTCTTAGAACATTCCAGTTACCACAGTTCTTTGGAATTAGAAGCATCAATTCCAATCCATCTGTCGCAATAACCTAGTTGCCAAGCGGAAAAGTACAAGACTGGTCAGTATGCAGGCCACATGCATCTCCCTCTGCTTTTTTCCCCTTTTAAAGCCATTAGAAATATCTAGCATGTCACAAGAGTAAAAACTTGCAACTTTAGCATACCATAGCTGCTATGGATCAGCAAAAAGGGTCATAATTAGCTAGCAGATGCCAATTTATTTTTTCCCCCAAAAATCCCCCGTCTGGCAACAGCAGGGCATTGGACTTGATGGCCTTCATGGTCCCTTCCAATTCTAGTATTCTATTATTCTACATGGGCCCCAAACCTCCATAAGTTGCCCACCCTGTTCTAATGTTTTTAAAAGAAAGCTTTAGTTTGAAATGCATTTCTTGTTCTTAGAATTGGAAACTAATGGCTAAAATCATATATGGAAAGCAAATTATGAAACTGCAGCTTCTGTTCTTTTAGCCTGTTCCAGTTTTGGGCATTTTAGACAACGAGGTAGAGAACAGCATCTGTAAAGGATTTGTTCCTGGTTCTGACACTCAGCACAGCTTGAAGTGGAATGGCAATATAATTCCATGCTATGATAGGGAATACAATACCTTTAAAACTCTGAAAGGAGCAGATTTCAGGTAAGCCACCCACCCAGCTGCTATGCAACAGTGCAACAAACTGGTACAACAAAAAGACTTTATTAAGCTTTATTAACATAGATAGTGGTATGTTTAGAATTGCTAATGTCCTTCTCTGAATTAAATCCCAGGGGAATCTGGCATAAGGACAATACAACAGCAGGGGAACAGTACAAGAGATAGAATCTAATTAATTTTTTCTGCTTCTGTCAGCAGAACTGGGAGGGCAGTGATTCTCCTCCTGCAGTCCCTTGTGTGTCCTTAAAATTTATTCCAGGAATGGGAGACCCTCTGGCATAGGAAGGAGGAGGAAGTGAGACAGTTCCATGCTGCAAGGGGACTTCTGCTCACAAAATACTAGCTTCCACCCAATTTTTGCCTCTTCCTGCCTATGCAGTTCATGCTATTTTTTTCTTAAAGCCAATGGCTGATTTAGAGTCGCTATCCAAACCTAAAACAATGCATCCTGAATTCTTTCCCCATCCAGTCTGAGGTTTTATTAATCCCATAACGATAGTTCCATATATGTGCTCCTTTCTAAAAACTGAAAAAAGTTGCATCTTTTATTCTAGATAGTTGAAAGAGTTGACCAGAATGAGCTTTGATTTGTGAAGCACAAAACTCCAAACCTTTGTCTGGGTAAGCCCAGATTGTCACTTGTTGTTAGTCGCAAAGTCGTGTCTGACCCATCGTGACCCCATGGACTACTCAAGCTATATACAGCATGATTTTTACACCATGAAAACTTAAATAAGAACTAAACTCATGCACATACTTATGACATACTCAGTGTCCTCATCACTGTTAGGCATATGTCTCCGATTTCCCACACCCCATGTTAAGTCTCTTCTTTCTTCCAGATTAATTTGTCACAAGCATTCATTCCGATACAAGAGGTGGCCTTCACAGAGATTGCTCTTAAGGGATAAAATCCCAGCAGCAAATGATGCACAGAATGCAGGTAATGTGGGAAATGAAGACATGCCAGTTATTGGTGAGTTGGTATAAAATGCAAAGATCACTCTCCTATAAGAGGTCTGCAGGTAAGCAAAGAGACAAGAAGAAAGTAAATGGTATACATTGAAAAGATCTAGGATACAACATGGCATTAACTTCAAGCATCATATGGTATTGCCACAGGAATCAAAGGACTCTATCTAATACAGTGGTATTAACCAAGTAGTTTGAAAGAAAATGTTAGAGACCCTTACCTTAGTATTGACAATACTTTGTATTTACTAGCAACTTTTCAAGTAATTTAGATTGGAAATTTTTACTGATAATAGGATATTGCAAATTTTATTTTGTGTCCTCAAATGCCGTAAGAATTATTTCTATGCTTTGCTTGAGTAGGCAACGGCTAACAATTTTTAAAGAAATATTTTGTAATGCAGTCTTAATTTGCTAATCTATTTCCCACTAGTAGAGAAATGCTTATACTTTAGCTACTTATTCAACACCTTGATCTGTTTCACATCGCATAACAGCCCTCCATGGATAACCAACCATGGCATGTTGTTGTGTTGCCTGAACTCAGCATGGTTTTTTTGCAGGATGGGATACTTTTCACAAAAGAACCACCCTTAACAAGAGGACTTGTTAAAAGATTGCTCTTACCCATGATGGACTGTCATATCATCCATACCTGGCTGGGCAATCATTTTGTACATTGTCAGAAATGGTTACAGAGCCTCCCGGCTAGAGTGGCAAAAATATCCCTACACCACTCAATTTGTGCATTGCTACTAGTGACTGTCATTCCACTGATGCCACAAATAGCCATAATTGTTTCCTAGCTTTTTCCAATTTATTTTTGATATCCCAAAAACGCACAACTTTGTGTTGAGGGGGTTAAACAGTTGATCTTTTGCAAGTGATGTGATCCCTTTGGCTTTTAATTAATTGACACTTCTTAGTGCCTTGCACATTTTCAGCACTTCTCTACTTCTCCATCTACTTCAGAAAGGAGAAGATACTAACTATAGGCAGTCCCCAGGGTACAAATGAATTCTGTTTTTGAGATAATGGAAACTCGTCTTTATGCTGAATTTGTACATGAGTAAGGCACAGGATCCCCATCAAAGTGAGAGCCAGTGTGGTGTTATGAGCCAGTGTGGCTTAGTGGTCAAGAGCTGGGACTGGGACTCAGGTGACCTGGGTTCGAGTCCCCGCTCAGCCATGGAGCCAACTGGGTGACTTTGGGCCAGTCACAGACTCACAGTCCAACCTACCTCACAGGGTTCTTGTTGTGGGGCTAAAATGGAGGAGGAGAATGATGTAAGCTGCCTTGAGCCCTTTGTAGGAAAAAGGCAGGATATAAATTGAAAAATAAATAAATAAAGTGGAAAAACTGTGAATATCTCTAGGCATCCTGCCTGCCCAAACTCACCTGCTGGAGAGATTTCCTTCTCTCCCCTTTTGCATCCTCTCTCTTTATGGTGATGATGATTTCCTATGGTAATTTTTTAAAAAATCAATATGCTTTACAGCAGTTTGTTCCTAAGTACGTGCTGTTTGTAATTCAGACATTCATAACCAAGGGACTGCCTGTACCCCCATTTTTCACAACACTGTTTTTTTTTTTTTTTTTTTTGAATATTTACTACTTTGGTTACCGAAGGGTTTTTTTTTTTTTTAATGCAGAAATGTATATAATTTTATGTAAATTCAAGGACTGGAGGGAAATATATGTATCTATACTAACTGCTCTGTTGCTGCAATTCTGCAAATTTTCCCTTCATTTACTTCCCAGCCCTTAAGGTTGTGTATATTTCTAGACAGTTTGTTTTAGAACTATCATGGAACCACAGTTTCTGTAGCAGCAACTGCTCCAAAAAGCAGCCAGGGGGTTAATATCTCTGAAATAGCTGCATATTTGAGGAAGTGTGGAAAATATGACACTAACTTCAACACTTAAAGAGGTTGTGTTGCATTGCCAAGGGAGAGCTATCCCTCCCCCCTTTTTTTGGTGTACCTGTTTTGATGGTTTTGTTCCTTTACTAGGCTTTTTAACTGATGCCTTGGCAAATGGTCCCTGGCAGCTGTATGCAACATGGCATGCAGTTTTGCCTTTGGAATTTCCATGTATGTTACCTATTCACTTTGCAGCTCTGAAACAGACAAGGAAATGGAACAGGTGGCAGTACATATATCAGCAGGCATAACAAAGCACCTGCCACTGACAGAAAATAAAGAAATACCCATCCCAGTGCACGGTGTTCAGGGCCCAAACTCTTTGGGGTGTGGGAGGCTCCACTTGTTAATTAAAATTAAAAGGGGGTGAATGAAAAGTGGCAGTAGTGGGAAGGTTAGGGAAACGAGATAGGTTCTTGCATGAAAGGCACTGGGATGCAGGCCAGAGCCTGCTGAAGAACTGAGTGGGAAAGAGAGGAGGGACCACTCAAAGCTGGTAAGCCTGGAACATGGCTTATTCAACAAATACAAGGTGGCTTAATGTGACTGTAGCCACTAGTATCAGTGGGAAGTGAGTGTTTTCAAATTCGAGGTATTTAAAGATCTTCATGCTCACTTATCTAGATGGATAAAAGGTACTGGGATACAATAGTTGATGTTCTGAAATTAAGTATATGAATGGAGACTGTACATGGAAATTGGGTTGAACAATTCCTTAGAGGTAGCTCAGTGCAAGAATTCTGCAGTTGTGGTATCCCTGATAGGGTCTACTTACATATGTTCAGTGAAGGAAAGTCTGTTTCACTGCCAAACAACTAAGTGGCCATGTGTTCATGTATGGCTAAAATCTCCTTCCTTAAAATGTTGGTTTTAGTCCTGCCTTCTGGAGCAACAGATTTTCAGATACTTCAAGACAGCTCTCTTATTTCCTTACCTTCTCCAAGCTAAACATATTCAGTATCTGGATTTTATCTGGACTTTTCACTTGAGTTCAGGCATACATGATTGAACGCAGTTTTTATTTTACACAAATTGCACTGCTATTTATGAAAACACTTGATTAGCAAGTTGTCTATCATGTATTTTGCTTTACAATTAAAACATTTAGATGTAGTCTTTGAACATTCACTTGCCCGGTTGGGTATCTTGCTCCATGAATGTGTTGCAGTATGAATAGTATAAAGAGTTCAGTTTAATCACCATTTACAACCTTCAGAATGTTCTGTCAAGTGGATGTGCACAAATATAGGCCCGTTTTTCCAGCACCTGCTTTGCCACTTTTTTAATATGTTCATCCATGTTTTCAGGAGCATCTAGATATAACGGAAACAAAAACAATTCTTTTAGAGCTGCATTTAAGTGAAAAAAACAGGATTTAAAAAATCCAAGCGTGTAAACACAAGCTGTTGAGTTGTTAACAACATCTGCCACATTAGTACTAATTATGGGAAAGAATCTATTATGGGGAAAATATCAAAGCTCTGCACCCAGATTCTTAGGGCAGACTTGAAAAATAATGCCTTTGAACAGAAATATTGATAATAATACTGACCAGGTTTGTAATGCCTCTTTACTTTAGTAAAACATTTGGTATTTATTTAACACCAAAATAGAAGATTTAAAAGTTAGGACTTGGTGCTTGATTGTAACACTTACATCTTTCTAACTGTGCCATTGTATAATTATTCCGGAAACATGCTTCTGTGCAGAAAATATCTGCAAGTAACACCTAGGAAGTCAATTAAGATCATCAGCAGTTAGAAATTGTCTTCTCTTAAAATATACAACTAGAATTTAACCCTGTAATAGTATGAGTCATGATAAATTTATAGAAACACAGCTATGAGAAAACAAGAAAAACAAGCTTGCTCTGCTTCTGTTCTAGATGCACTATGGTTCTTGCTCAGTAACTAGAAATTAATTCTCTCCCCCACTCCCTTTATTCACAGTGACTGCTTTGAATAAGCTGAAGGACCCTGTGGCTGAAGGTTGAGTCTGAAGGAATTCTCTACCATTGTCTCCCAAAACAATTAGAATCTGCTCAAGGGTGCACACTTCCTGAAGAGCCTCCTTAATCAATACATTTAACTTCATGCTCAGTATTCAGTTTTACAGTATAAAATTGATTAAGTTTGAAATACTTTACAGTTGATGTCATGTATGCACAGTTCAGGGTTTAGACATCAGGGAAGGCAGACTAGAAACAGCAGAAAATCCTGTAAGCAGGAATTCAGAATGGGCAGGGCCTGTAGTTTTTCCAGTCCTGCACTACATCCTGCTGCACAGGTTACCACAGTAGTTCAGGATAGAAGTCCACCTCAGCCAGTAAACCATGACCCATCAGCCACCCTACACAAGAAGTTCATAAATAGAGCAAGCTGGACTGTCGCCGCTTTTTGTAGATCTTCACTAGACACACAACCTTTGAATATGCAAGTTCCATTTTGCTAATACCTGTTGACAGACTAACATATATGCCTAAACCATATAAACTACATGGCTGCAAGTCCACATATCCCTTGTTCTCAGCTGATGACAGACTTGCAAATTATGAGGAAATCCTCAAAAGCAATTTTGCATCCTTCCCTTCTAGCTACTTAATGCACTAGCATTCATACACATCACTGTATTAGAAAGCCTGAGTGAACTCACCTCATGATCGTGATTGCGCAAACCAATACTGATGGATCGGCTCGCTCGGGAAAGAACTGCTGTCATTCCATACAGATTAATGAGAATGTCTGCCACTTTTTTGAGAACCAGCTGCTCATCCACTATAGTCTAGTACCAAACAGAAAACCCCACCCAAATAGTTTAGTGATACACTCGCCACCATCAAAAGGATTACGACAGCATCCTCAGTTGCTGTTCCTCACACATACATTTTAAAAAAAGAATTTGCTTTTGCAATTTTATTTAGGATGCATTAGAATCTGTACAGTAGCCAGACTGCATAAAAGATACAGATCTGATCCCAGTCCTAGTTCATAATCTTCCATAATAGCTCTTTAGTATGTTTTCTGAAGACCATTCCTGGCCTTCGAATGGGGTTAAAACATTCATTTTGATTAGGTCTATTGAGAGGGCAGTTAAAAGGGTGAAGGGCAAGAGGAAACAAGGAAGCTCTGGTTACCTTGCCAAACCGTTTCAGTAAGCCTTCTACTGTAACTCCAAAATAATACACATTTTGCTCAAGTTTTTTGCCACTTTCCTACAAATGGAAAAAGGAACAAAAGATTGGGGGCTCTGCAAAATGACATTCTCAATTCTGGGCATGCACACTCAGTCCATATGCACACATGGTCTACATAATAGCTGCAACTGGGAAGCCAGCTGATACTCCTATGGAAAGTGAAGGCAGGTAGAGCTGCCCTTTTCTGGTGTCATCCAGTAGTTTGAGACTTGCCCTGATTGTTCTCCATCTCTGCATTCTTTCCACACTTCCCTGAAACCCTTTTTGCAAATGCTTTCTTTTCACAGCCGTCTAAGAAAGGATTAGGGTTCCTTTCTTCCAATTTATCTAACAAATTTGAGCAATTTCTGTGGTCATGGAAATGTGTATTAATTTTATGGCTGCATATTTATTTAAATTATGAATAAAATTACAGCCATTTGCTCTGTACCCAAAAATAATTTTAAACAGGATAATAAAACAATGTGGCTTGGTGGTTAGTGTGTCGGACTGGGGACTTGGGAGATCTAGGTTCTAGTCCCCACTTGGCCATAAAGCTCACTTGGTTTAATTTTGGTTTACATTTTTTAAAGATTTTATCTTATGCTTATGTTGTCTTTTAGGGCTGGGTTTTTTAATGAAAAAATAGAGCTTTGGCTATTGTGCAATAAATGCAATAAATAATCCTAGTTTGAGGATTAATCCCTGACATCATTAAGTAGGGCTATAAAAAAAGTGAATGAAACCCTGGTGAATTGCTGCTTGTCAGTGCAGATTAGCCAGGTTGTGAAGACTAGGGTTGATAGGAATTATAGTCTGACACCTCTAGGGGACACTAAGCTGGGGGAAGACTGGTGTAGATCTTACTAAGCTTTCAATCAAATGGTCTGGCTTAAGTTAGCATCTTATGCTCCTGCATGGAGCATGTCTCACTGCAAACTGACACTAAGGAACCTCTTCAGACATGCCCACAGCATCTAGGAGTACTTACCTCTAGACTGGGATGAATCACACCATGGTCTCCCACTAATCCTAAATCTACTGTATGGCTCATGCCGTCACGGATTCTGTTTGCAACCAACTGAAACGCCACGCCTAGGCCCCCCTTCCTGATTTCCCTATGGGATTAAAAAGACATGTAAGCTGCTTTAACGTTGGGTCATTTCCGCAAAGCTTTTTCGTTTTGCAGCACTAAATATTTTGTCTTCCAGAAGTTTATTTCTGAGTTTATTCAAGATGCTGGCCATCTAATGCTTCAACTATTCAAAAGGAGTAACTATACCTGGCTGTACCTCCCAGTCCACTGAGGTACAGGGCACAGTCCTATGCATGCAGAGTAAGGAGCAAGTCTGACAACTCTGGCTGGCAATTGTGGGACTTCTTTCTGTCTAAACATGCACTCTAGCACACTAATTCTTCACCCGTTAAGCAACATCATGAAAGTCATATGGACAGAACTACATTCCCATAAATGACACCTATCAAATTTTATCACTGAAGTCAGCCCCTAAAACTTTAAGAATTTGTATGTAGTTTTTCTAAATTTTAATGGAGTTTCCATAAGCTCCACTGAAATGAATAAAAGTCCCCTAGTAAGGACTGACCAAAGCCTCTTCAAAAACTTCATAATTGCTTCATTCATACAGTTAAATTAGGTTTTTTAAATGAGAGATTAATTCTATGGGGCAGAGATGAGACACTAAATTTCGTAAGATTTTAATTTAAAAGATATTCGCCACTTTAAAATTCCTTAAATAAGGTAACAAGCTGATTTTTATTTTCTGCTTATGCATGTTAAAAACCTTCAAGAAGATACTGATCTTGCTATATTCCCTTCTGTACTTTCCCACCCACACATTTCCAATCAGTAATTAGTCATCTATGAGGGCCATTCTGAAAAAGCACATACTTGATTTTTCCAGTTAAGATTTTGCCTGCATGCTGCAAGCCCGTCAAAGCAATGAACATTCGCAGAACTTCATTTGTTCCCTGAACAGAAGAAAAGTTTCTTTCAGCAACCTAAACATGGATTTCTACACATACATACATGTAGTGCATGTTATTTCCTTCAACAGTTAGGAAGAAATTTACTGTTACAACATTCTGTGAATAGCTTTACAGTGAAACCATGTGGCATTTGCAGTAAAAGCCACATATGATAGGATTAATGTATGTTAGAGTCTAATTTAAGCTTATTTCATTAATACTATGTCCATGTGGCCAGCTATCTATCTAGATCCTCCATTAACACTTTATCATGTGGGGCATATTCCAGATGATCCTCTCTCCCTATGTTCAAGAAACGTAGGAAGGGACTGTGGAACACTGTAGGCTAGCTCTAGCCCCACTGTGTATGAGACAGAAAGGGCTCTATGTGCATAGCAACGTACGTATGTTGAGCTCTTCTGTGCATGTGTGTGTGTGTGTGGGGGGGGACTTGCTTGGACCAGGAATTCACCTGTATGAAGGATATGTGTGAACATAATTTGGGGGTGTCCTTGCAGCCCATTCTCATGCATGCTGGATTCATAATTATGGAGTGTGAGGCTTCCAGACACCACAAGGCAGGACTAATCTTCATGGTCCTGCAATCCCCCACCCTGTTCCCTTATACACAGGCAGATGGGTGTCTCAACAGCCTTGGTACCTACCCGCAGCTACATAAGGAGAATGTTTCTGAACAAGTTTATAGGGCTAGCTGATGGCTACATGCTAGCCACTCCGGTAAATATTAAAGTGGGGGGACTACACCTTTGTTTTTTTTTAGCACCGAACAACTGATTAACTAAACTGAAAGCTCTCCACATAGACAAAGGAAACGCAGTGCCACACTGTTCTCTGTCCACAATTATTTGGGATACCAATGAGAATCCTTGGTGACAAACCAAATTATTTTTTTACAGCTCTCCTTTGAAGAACTGAAATATATTTGTAGAAAAGGCAATTGAAATGATGCAGAAAAATCTGACATCTGTACAAGCTCTGAAAGCAAAGCATTCACATTTTTGAAATGCTCTAAGAGAAAATGCTGATGGCCTAGGAGTAGACTGCATTTAAGCAGGTGCTGCTTAGCAATTAAATCTTTCAAAATGAACAGATGGCTAAACAACAAGCTCATTAAAAATACTGCATACACTGACTGGAGCTGGTAAATTAAACAGATGCATGTTACGTGTTTGGTTTTAATTGCAAACACCATTCCTGATAGCGATTTGCAGCAAGTGATGCTTACTGGAATTCAAAACTAAGCTACAGCAGGTAAGAGCAAAGCATGATCTATTAACACTGATTACCCACAAGATGGGAATCCCTGGGTCCTGGCTACGCATGCTAAACCAGAATAAGCTCAACATACACAGGAATGGAGCCTTCAGGTTCAACAGTCCAGATTATATGGAAAACTTCCACAGATGGATGAGACACTACTTCAGACCGTCACCCTTCCTGGGTAAAGGTGCATGAAACATGACTAAGGGGCAGGACTGGAGCACTTTCCCCTCACAAGTGTAGCGCACCTGACTAGAGGTAGAGACTCAAGGTGCTTATTTCTAGTTTCAGTTCTAATTTACTTGACTTGGAAACATGAAAAAACTTCAGATCTAACATGTTTTCCTTGGTCCTTCTATGCTTTTAATTGTTTAAACAATTTAACTGTCTTTCCCATTGGAAAGTGTAAAACGAGAAAGTGGAACAAGAACGAGAAAGTGGAACAAGAACAAGAAAGTGGTTCAGTGTGGAACTCCAACCTGTGCAAGCAACATGTTAGCCAGACTTCTCCAGATCCAACTGTACTCTTCTAAAACTATCAAGCAAATTACAACTATAATATGTGTGTTCTAGGATTACAGAAATCTATATTTAAGAAACACAGTGTAAAAAGGAGATTTTATTGTACAGACACGCATTTAAATGGTAAATTCTGCTTACTATTAATATAATTTATCTTTGAGACATCATTGTATCCTCACAATTTTATATGCCATTCTAGATACTGATGACATCTTGTTCCCAGAAGTTTGTGTAAAGGTTTGGTTGTCACAGTCATGTATGCAATTAACTTAGTCAAACTGTTAACTAAATCAAGCAGTATTTAATTAAGTATAATAGTATTTTGTTCATTTGAACTGTAATGCCAGCCCAACAGATTTTGCATTTTGTGTCTTAAATTCACCCAACTGAGACCAACGTTTTCAATATATTGGATTATAGTGTCTCTATTGGATTTGAGATTGCAACATTTTAATATTTCAAAACATTTTAAACAGTTATCAAGTATTAATATGTAAGGAATGTTTTACTTTCCAAATGCTCCCTTTTATCTGAAGATACTGCTGCAGCCCACTTATTATAAAGAGACAAGATCCAGGACCAGTTTTACAGGGGCCACAGCCACTTAGAAGGCTCCTAGTTTTATTCTAGTTGTTTGAGACTGGCTGCAATTTAGAGACATGATCATATTTACCTCAAAAATCAAAAGTATCCTGCTATCCCGGAGATAGCGTTCATATGGAAAGTCTTTCATGTAGCCAAGGCCTCCAAGAATCTGTAGAGCTTCACTTACACAGACCCATGCACCCTCAGAACTAAACACCTGCCAATAACCATTGAGAGAAACCTAATTATTCTTTACATAAATTAGCATTTTTAAATAAAATAGCAAATAAAAGGCCAGGATGGGACAAACAGTATCACTAGTGACTCTGGACCAAGGTGGAAAGTGAAACACTTTCCACTTCTGAGTCATTCTAAGTAATTAGGATCACAAATGCAAATACAGTGGTGCCTTGGCTCATGAACGCCAAATCACAACCAGATCGGATCACGGACAGAAATTTCATTAAAATTTTGACTTGGCTCGTGAACTCCGCATTGGATGGCAACCAAGATCACGGCCATCTCCCCCACCAACCCCCAAGTGGGGAGATGGCCATGATCACAGTTGCATTTGTGCAGGGAAGACACAGAGGAGCTGACGGCAGAACTTGCTGAACTCCAGAGTGAGCAGCAGAAGGCACTCACTGAGGAGGATTCCACTGAAGAGGAGGAAGACAGTGATGTGATACAATCCATTATGAAAAAATGGAATGAGTGCCAGGATTTCTTTGAGAAGCACCACCCCAACATAACTGTAACGAACAGAGTGTTGAATCTGATGAACGATAATGTGGTCTCTCATTTCCGGAGGGTTATGCAGCACAGGAAAAAACAAGTGACTATAGACAGATTTTTCACCAAAATTGACCCTGCAGCTAAG